GCAGGGAGCTGGACTGGAAGAGGAGCAGCTGAAGTCTTGAATTAATGCCTATATGGGATGCTGGGGCTTCAGGCCAGGGCGTTAACCCACAGCACCACAGTGCTGGCCCCGGAAAGATTTCTAAGTGTTTGTTAATACAGACTTCTTAATTCTGATAGTAATAATGACGATAGTAGATGTGGTTTTATTGAGTATTCAGATGGAAATTCGAAATTAATTTGATAAGGAAATGGGGTAGGGCACAACTATACATAGCAGTGCTTCTGAAACTATTATGCTTCGGGATCACCTGAGCATTTTGGTCAGCTGTAGACTGTGAGTTATATACATCTGGGCTTGGACTGAGAGTCTGTCTGTCTGTCTGTCTCTCTCTCTTTTGCCCCCTGATTGATTTATTTGAAAGTCAGAGTTACACACAGAGAGAAGCAGAGGCAGAGAGAGAGAAAGAGGTCTTCTATCTACTGGGTCACTCCCCAGTTGGCCGTAATGGCCAAAGGTGGACTGATCCAAAACATGGAGTCCAGAGCTTCTGACTCTTTCATGAAGATGCAGGGGTCTAAGTATTTGGGCCATTTTCCACTGCTTTCCCAGGCTATAGCAGAGAGCTGGATTGGAAGTGGAGCAGCTAGGACTTGAACCGGTATACATATAGATTGCTGGCACTGCAGGCGTGCCTATAACATTTGTTTTATTGAAAGGCAGACTTAGGGAAAGACAGAAATACACAGACAGAGATAGAGAAACATAGACAAACCGATCTTCAGTCTGCCAGTTTACTTCCTAAATGGCTGCAATGGCCAGTGGTGGGCCAGGCTGAAGATAGAAGCTTAGAACTCTATCTGGGTGGCAGGTAGGTCATCCTCTTTTATCCTGCTATTCATCACAGTTAGAACATTCTGGATGTTACCCAAGGTTAGGATCTAGAAGGGCATGTGTGGTTCAATGTTGGTGAGAAGAGTGTAGAGGTGTTTTTTTGTTTGTTTGTTAGTTTGTTTTGTTTTTTTTTCCCCCCTCCTTTTTGCGCTCTTAATCTGTCAGCAAGTCCCAGGGACTGGCATACAGTGGTGATTGAGAGAAATGATTTCCTGACTACTTGTAGACCTTTTTATTTTTATGGTTGTTTAGGCAAGACAGCCTTTGTAGATGGGCAAATAGAAAGGAAAACCCTGTGTTTGGTGTTTGTTTAGTGTTAGCTTTTGTGTTCGTTTGATCTCTGTTGATAAGTCTGGGCTGTTTTCTAGCATGTTCTCTATTTAGTGGCTCAAGACATTGAGAGCCAAAGTAGAGTTTGCATTCTGACCTTCCTGTTGTCCATGTTGGACAGTCTGGTGTTTTTTGTAGGCACATGTTTGTGATCTGGAGCTTTCCAGTGATTTTAAGTTTTTGGTGATTTACCATGACCCTACAGCTGCCAAAACTGTTCATTTTTTTGAATATTCTGATTTCTTGCCTACTCGTGGATATTTTAGAAGCAACAGAACAGAGTCCAATTATTCTCTCCCAGTTTGGGTCATACATCAGCAACAAGAGAGGTGACAAATTTTGACCAGCACTGTAGATTACAAAAGAAGAGTGTGTATGTGTGTGTTTAAAAAAATTAATAACTGTATTTTGAAACCCCATAATCTGTGTCATGGATCTGCTTCTCCTATTTTTAAAGTGCTTTATCGGTATAATGAAGCTTCTTGTATCAGTAACTGAACCTTAAATGTGGCTTCCTTTGCAGGAGTTGTCATCTCACACGGTTTATGCTTTAATCAGACGTTGGTTGTAAGAGTATAATTCTGTCGTCTTGAGCTTGAAGTCAGAATGAAGGCACTTGCATGTATAGGGTGCAATAAATTGTTTCAAGAACTTCATATTTAAAGCTCTCTGGGGGCTTTATACTTTATAAAGTATGTATATGTAGGAAATAGTGTTTCATCAGAGAGAAACACAACGGAAATCAGGATGTGGTGGTAAAAAGACTTCTGTGTGACAGCCTTAATGAGCTGCTCACTCTGGCTGCTGGAAACGTGAATTTCAGCTTAATAAGCACTAACTCCTGTTGCAGCTGACACTCATCCAGTCCAGTTCATATGCTGGGGGAGCTTTCGTACAAGCCAACAAAGAATTCCCTTAGAAATTAGCTCCCCATCCTGAATTTTATACGTGGCTATGGTCAGATTATCTGTAATTTACTCAAGCTGGATATTTGGGTTCCTCCACTGGGGTCTGGTAAGAATGCTGTAATTTTCTTGTATTTTATCAGGTGATTGGAAGGTCTCTTAGTGACTTCAGCCCAGTAGTAGTTCAGAAATTACCTGTGTTCCTACTGTAATGTTAAGGCAGAGTTGACTAGCTTAGCCTTCCTGTTTGCATCCTGAGCTACTGCCCTGTCGATGTCTTGGTTCTCCCAGTAGCCTGACCAGGAAGACGGAATGTGCCCTCTTCATCTAGAAGTGCTGTGCTGAAAATGGAAATCTCAGCTTGGCAGGCTTACAGCAGTGGTGGAAATCAAGGGGAAAGTGGGCATCTTTCCCCTGTTCTTTCTAGGGCCTTTTCCTCTGCAGAATTGCTCTCATTGTAGGAAATCCTGGTGGCTTAAAAAGAGTGCAGCTTATATTATTTAGGGCTTAGAACCTCAATGTGGTTGGATTTCTAAGATGTAGTTTGTGTTTATGCAGAGTTTAGAAATTTAAAATCTGGAAAAGTCCTCAGATAATCCAGTTTGAGTCCCTTGGAGGTTTTACAGGATCTGCAAGTGTCAGGGCAGAAAAAGTAGTTTTTTTGTATACCCTGGTACAGCAGGCAGCAGAGTGCCTATGAGCGAGTTTTTTGAGGTATTCAGACTTCTATTTCAACAAAAGGGATCTGAGTAGCATAAATCCTACTTTGACCCAAGATGTTTATCTTTTCTTTTCTTTCCTTCCTTCCTTCCTCCTTCCTCCTTCCTGTTTTGTTTTGTTTTGTTTTTCTTCTAAGGCCCAAAATATCTGTGATGTTCAAATACTTGTTTAAATTTTACTCTTGGGTCAGGTGCCTTTTATTGGGGTGTCTATGTTTTGGTCATGGTTTTTCTTCTTATTCTGGCTTCCTGCTAACACATTCACTTCTAGGAAGTTGATGATGGCTCAAGAACTTGGGGTCTCTGACATTCACTTGCAGACCTGGATTGTGTTCCATCTTGACTGTTTTGGGCTTTTGGGGAATGAACCTGAGGATGAAGATCTCTGTCTCTTTTTCCCTGTTTGTTGCATTGGAATTTAAGTCCTTCTTGGGAAGGTACTTCGAAAAGATTTTGGAAAATGGAATTAAAAGATAAGTTTATTGTGGCTGGTTTTACAGTGCAGTGGGTTAAGCTGCCATTTGAACACCAGTAACACTGGCATCTCATAGTGGAATGCCAGTTGGAGTCCTAGCTGCTTGAGCTTCTGATTCTGCTTTCTGCTAATATGTCTGGGAGGGCAGTGGATAATGGTCCAAGTTTTTGGCCCTCTTCTATCCACACGGGAGGCCCAGGTAATGGAGTTCCAGGCTCCTGGCTTCAGCCTGATTCAGCTTTGGCTGTTGTGGCCTTTTAGGGAGTGAACCAGTAGATAGAAGATTCCTGTCTCTCTCTCTCTCTGTCACTCACCTTTCAATTAATTTTTTTTTTTTAAAGTAAGTTAGGCCTAGGTACTTGGGTCATTTTCTTTTGCTTTCCCAGATGCATTATCAGGGAGCTGCACTGGAAGTAGAGCAGGTGGTGGCTTTACTCACTATGCCAAAATGCTAGCGGCGCTACCCCCATCCCCACCCCCACTCCCTTTTTTGAAGATTGATTTGTTTATTTGAAAGAGAGAGAGAGAGAGAGGTCTTCCATCTGCTGGTTCACTCCTCAGTTTGACACAATGGCCAGATCTGTGCGGATCTGAGGCCATGAGCTTCTTCTGGGTCTCCCACATGGGTGCAGGGTCCCAAGGACTTGGGCCATCTTACACTGCCTTCCCAGGCCATAGCAGAGAGCTGGATTGGAAGAGGAGCAGCTGGGACGTAAACCAGTGCCCTTATGGGATGCTGGCACTGCAAGCCACTGTATTACCCACCACACCATAGCACCGGTCCTCCGTTGCATTTCTACAGTGAGTTCTCTACTGTCTTTCAGTTGGGAATCAATTTTGCAGGTCCAATTCCTTTTCTCCTTACTGAATTACTGATTAATTGAAGGAACGTATGTACTTTTCAGATCTACTCTACTTCCAACAATAACAACAAAATTTCCAAAGGGATGCTGCAATCTAGTATACTTTTTATTCACTTCATGAAACATCTGTGAAATGATTCATTATAATTCTGGTTATCGATAAAATTACTCCTTTCCTGAACTTTGTCAGGAATAAAATGACAGTGTTGCCAGTTAATGGAATATATTTGTTTGTGGGATATCTAACAGAATAAGGTATGTGTTTCTTTCAGTCACTTTTCAGTCATTTTAGCTTTTGTTGGAGGGTCGTTAAGAATGGTGACTTTGTGCATTTGTCTTACGATGGAATTTTATTAATCATCAGAACTGGGTCTTGGACTCACAATACTTGTTCAGAGTCTATAATTTTGCAAGTTTATTGTGGATCTGAACTGGGAAATTGATTACAAGAGGCTGGATAGAAGAGAAGGACATGGATTCAGTATCTGACTTCCTGCTCTTGACTCCTGTTTCATGCCACTGTAGACTCTTCAGAGGTAGTCGTGACAGCTCAGGTAATTGGGTTCTTTCTACTCATGTAGGGGGTTGCAGATTGAGTTTCCAGCTCTCATTGAGGTCATTTGGGGAGTGAATCAGCAGATGAGTGCTGTTTCACTGTGTCTGTTTCTCTTGTCTATTTCTTCCTCTCAAATAAGGAAGTTAAAAAAGAATAAAAGTATTACATGTTTATCAGAAATTTTCAAAAAGAGAAGAAAGTTCATTGTGCCTGAATACTTGCCTGTGTACTTGTTTTTCAATAATTCTCTGGTTCCCTTTCTTTGTTATGTTTCTCCAGGATGACAGTGACGGGATTCCATGGTCAGAAGAAAGGGTGGTACGTAAAGTCCTTTATTTGTCTCTGAAGGAGTTCAAGAATGCCCAGAAGAGGCAGCAGGGGGAAGGCATTCCTGGGAGCCTGAAAACAGTGAATGGTGAGTGAACAGTGAATGGACTTTTGGTGGAAGCAGATGGTGTCCTTATGTATGGCCTCGTTGTTCACTTGTTTGTTTTCCAGCAGTTTGTGCTACTTAGCCCAGGCATCTGATGGCATCTGTACGTTATGTGATATTGTGCTTGCGAAATGATTTCTGTAAAATGTTTGTTCATGTACTATATAATGTAATGGACGAGGTGCTTTAGTCTGTTCCCTACATCCAGGGTAGAACATAGATCCTGTCTTGCAAGTTTTATTATATACTCAAGTACGTGGGAAGAACCTTTTGTTATCTGCTGAAATGTGGAGTTTTTTGTTTTTGCCCAATCTGCAGGAAACAGCCTGTCTAAAGCCCCGTCGCCCTTCCTCAGGTTGGGCACAGCAGGCTGCTAATTACTTGTTTCATGATGAGCAGGTCAGGCAATAGGTACAGGGCAGTAGGGATCCAGTGACCTAGACTTCCTGAGCCTATGGAAGCATATCTCTTCTGGATGCTTAACAGACAGAGCTTTGAAGCTTGGATGAAAACTCGGCTTCTGTCTGAGTTTATTATGATATCTTTTTCTCCAGGGTTAGTACCATTCAGATGAAAGCACCTCCCAAAAAGAATTTGCAGATCCTCATTGTCTGTGGCTTACTGTATTATTTCAGGGGGAATGCCTGTGGTGATAATCCACAAGGCCACTGCTCTTGTTAGTTTCTTAGAATGCTAAATAAATATGAATGAATTGTCCATGTTCCAATTTGTACTTCCCTGGCCCTGTGGAAATGAAGAGGAGATCTTCTTCTGTTTTGGAGCCTTAGATCAGGTCATAGGGGAGTTTTCATATATGAGGTACTTGACAGTTTGCCAGGGTGTAAAATGACATGTTCAATGCTAATTTTCCTGATCTTTCCCTGAATGTGTAGTTTGTGTTATGACAGCTTCTAGTTGGAAATAAGATAGACCTGTTGCCCAACTGCTTCCATAGAGCCATGGAGGTTTTCAGGAACCACGTCTTCCATTCACCCACAGGTTTCACTCTTTGAACAGCATCATCTTCTATTGCTGTATGACTTCAAATAAGTTCCTTTCCTCCACTCTGGATTTTCTTCCTGTGTCTGAGTTGGCTTTGAGGGCAACCATTAAAACTAGTATTATAGATGTGTTTGGTAATACTGTTGAACCCTGTGTCCACCAACCGAGAGCCAGCTTTGAGAATAGGCCAGTTAAAGCTTTAAATTTGGAGGAAACAGAAGTACCGGCATATGCTAAGGATGCTGGGTCGATTCCCGGATGCTCCACTTCTCTTCCATGGTCCCTGTCTTCCAGCTCCCTGTCTCTCTCTCTTTACCTTTCAAGTGCATAAATTTTATTTTTTAAAAAAATTGTGGACTCCACTGCCATGGTACACAATTTGTACTGCCATATGTGGTTTTCCTAAAAGAGATTGTATGTTTTTATTTGGATCTCCATCTACTCCTTGTGGTGGTATAGTAAACTAAACCCTGTGCATGTTTAGGTAACATTGCTTTATACTGAGTGTACTGTTTGATTTGTGTGAAATTGGCAGGGCGGGGTGGGGGGGACAGGGAGTAGGTGATGAATAAGAATATCCTAGGATGCTAGAGTTAGAGTAGAGCAATAGCTGCTATAGTTTTAGGTTTTGTAGTTATAGTAAGGAATGCCCTCATCTTGCTGTTGAGGAGAGAAGATGGCCTTAGTGCTTCTTTGAAAATAATCCAACCTTTCTTGACTGGAAAATGCCTGCTTTAAGAAGAAGAAATTCACCACACATCTGGAATTTACTAAACATAGGATGTGGGTCAATAATTGAAAATTATTAAGCTCATCTTTCAAGAAGCAATTAGTGCTGCCAGCCAGTTGACAACTTGGAGTTTTGATGTTGATATGATCAGGGGATTGATACTGAGGAAAGAATTGCAAGGAAACAAGATACTTCTGTTTTGATCATTGCTTTTGTCATGGTTGTTTGCCTTTAACCCTGATAGACTTGTCCCTTAAGCAGAGATGCTGGCACTCAGGCTTCAGTTCTGCTGGTGAGATGGCTGTGCACTTGATTTTATGCTTTGTGGTGACACTTGTGTGGGCAGGATTCCATGGCTCCCTTTTTGTTATTCTGAATATTGGATTTTTGCAGATGTTCTGGGTAAGCATACCTCCTGGTTTCACAAGTTAAATTGTTATGTCTTAAATATTCATTTTATTTATTTGAAAGGTAGAGTTAGGGAGGGAGAGACAAATATCTTCCATCCTCTGTAATGGTTAGATTTTCAGTACTCTAACAAAGTACCTGAGACAAGCACCTTATGAAGAAGAGAGATTTATTTAGTTCACACTTTTGCAGAATCAACCAAATGGCATGATAGGCAGGCTTAGGATTTGGAAAGATTCATTGGCAGATTTTGGATGAAAGAGCTAGGAAACAGAGGGGGCTCTACTTTTCATAACAGCCTTCTGAGAACAAGCCTCCAGTGACCTAAGGAATTCCTGTTGTGCTTCACCCTTTAAAGGTTCTGTTATCCTAAGGGGCATGTCTCCACTCCATGGACTACTTGTGGACAGCCAAACTATGGCAGATGCTTTGTAGTCAGTTGTCACTAATACCTCGTCCCATAGATAAATCTAATGCAGATTAGCAGCGAGAGAAAGAGTACAGAGATCAAGGTATATGCTTGTCTTTTAACTTTTTTTTTTTTTTTTTTAAAGTCTCCAGTCCCCTTTTCAAAAGTTTAAATAATTCACTTGGTTAAAAAAAATCCCATCATGGTCGGGTGCTTCGGCTCACTGGGCTAATCCTCCACCTGCAGCGCCGGCACTCCGGGTTCTAATCCCAGTTGGGGCGCCGGTTCTGTCCTGGTTGCTCCTCTTCCAGTCCAGCTCTCTGCTGTGTCCCGGCAAGGCAGTGGAGGATGGCCTGGGTCCTTGGGCCCTGCACCCGCATGGGAGACCAGGAGAAAGCACCTGGCTCCTGGCTCCCGGCCATTTGGGGGGTGAACCAATGGAAGGAAGACATTTCTCTGTCTATCTCTGCCTGTCCCCCCCCCCCCCCCCCCCCATCCCATCATTACTGTTCTAATTGTCACAGCATTTTGTCTCGTCATAGAGTTTAAGGTTGCCTGGTTGCCTGATGCAGGTGATCCCAACTTAGGATATTGAATAGGCAAAGATGAGTGCCTGTGCCTGTGTTCCACATAGATGTTTGCTTCTGCCTTCTTTCCCTTTTTTCCATGCCTTGGGATGTTAGGCCATGACGCATCTCTGAGTTCCTGACATTTTCATCTCTACCTCTGTATGCTGATGAAAAGCTGCCTTGTGAGGCTTTGAGTGTTATATGTGGTAGTGTCCTCCCCCAACCTCCTTCCCTGACTCACTCCCTCCCTCCGCCTCCCTATCCCTCTCTCTCTCCCTCTCTCCCTCCCCCCACCCTTCCTACTTTGATTTTATTTATTTCAGAGGTAGAGTTACAGAGAGAGGGAGGTAGAGAGAGAAAAGTCCTTCTGCTGGTCCAAGTGGCTGCAATCGTTGCAACTGAGGCAATCCCAAGGTAGAAGCCAGGAGCTTCTTCCGGGTCTCCCACTGGTGTGCAGGGGCCCAGGCATTTGGGCTGTCTTCCATTGTCTACCTAGGCCATGAACAGAGTTGAGTTGGAAGAGGAGCAGCCAGGTCGTAAACTGGCACCCACATGGGCTGCAAGTGCCATAGTAGGGGGCCCATCTGGTTGGCAGTGAGTTTACCTAAGGTAGCAGATTTGGAATTATAGCTTAGATTGTATAACTTTGCATCTAGTACTTACTTTCAACACAGAATGAGTGAAAATCACACTACTTCTTTATAACAGTTACAGTGAAAACATGGTATTTTACTTTTCTCCCTTGTTACTTTTTAAGCAAAGTTGTTTCTGGATTATTGACTCTGCCACAGTTTCCTGAGAAGAATCAGAATTTTTTGCCATAATATTTGGCATTAACAGTATTCTGCACTTAATTGTTGAAGTTAGAAACAAGTTTGACTTTACTTCAGCTAAGTCAACACCATTCTTTTGTGTGAAAGGGAGGAGTGTCTGGTGGCTGTTCCAAGCAGCAGCATTCTTGGCCTTCTCGATTCTGCAGGTCTGCATGGTAGAAATAACATAAGCAGACACAAGACAGTTGAGGCTACTCATCCCTTTTTTTTTTTTTTAATTATTGTCTTAAAATCCGTGTCTGCCATCATTCTTGCTTTTGTCGTTCTGAAATGACAAGACATGGGAGTCTCCCTACCCCCACCTTCTATCCCCCACCAGTAGCAAATATGAATGTTGAATTGCCTCCTGGATGGTCTATGTAGGAATTGAAGCCATCATTTTAGATGTTAGAGCTGGGCTGAGGGGCAAGGAGGTGCTAAGACTTGCTGATTGTGAGCCTTCTATCTGCTTCCTGCTATGGATAATGCCACTTTCCCCATCTGTAATAAATTGGCAAAAGCTTTGGAAAGGACTGGCAGAGGCTGAGACCTCTGAGGGCCCTTGGCCTGCTGGGGCTAAAATTAAGGATATTTAAATAATAACATGCTATACAAATAATGAGTACTCATAATTACACAGTAAGAAAAGGGAGCTATTAGCTGTGTTTGAATTTCATTTGCTCCCTATAAATGTCATGTCCGATTAGTAAGCACTTTGGCCATTGAACAGTTGTGATTAAGGGGAACCCTTAATATTTTCCAGTCAGTAGTTGTGATAGCTAACCTAGAGGGGGTTCTCACTATTTGTGCATCTGCTGTATTATGAAGAGAAACTATTTTTATGAAGATGAGGAGAGTGTAGGCCAAGGGTGGATTATTGGGAGAGTCCAGGCTTTGTGCCGAAGAAATAAAATTTTGGAATACTCTTTAGTGTTCTAAAAATTGAGATTTGTGGATGTCGTCCCTTAAAGCGTAATTTTTTAGAAGATAAATTCAGATTTTTGGCCTCGGCAGAGAAGCCTTGTGAAAGCATATTAACTGTTTTATAAAAC